GATTGTTCCAAACATAAACATTTCCCAGTGTTCGAATTGAGTATTTCTTTCTAAATGAACTTGGAGCACTGGTGGCATAGTAGTTACACGTTCGACTGTGACTGATGGGTATTGTTGGCAGTTTGAACCCCGGCAGCTCTGCAGGACAAGGACCGGGACTCTGTCACAGTGACAGGCTCAGAAACCCACAAGGGGTCGCTAGGAGTCAGCAGCGACCCGATCGATGGCAGTGAGTTTGGTTTGTAATGAAATTTTTCAATGAGATAAAATTAGAATTTTCACTTTCGTTAACTAAATTTTAATTTTATCTAATTTTAGTGCCACCTTGCAGTGCCCAAGAGCTACCTATGGCTAAGGGTGACTGTGCAAGGGCAGATTATAAACGCTTCCTAATTAAACTTCCGTAGGTCTTCCTTGGTTACCAAGTTCCCATAACCTTCTGTCCCCACAGCTTTCTAGAGGAAGGTGGCTTGGAGCTCATCTGCTCTACCTGCTTTCTTCCAGGAGCAGTGACCTAGAGAAGGAAGTGGCAACTCCAGAAAAGTGTGTTTGCACCGTTCCCATGGTGCTAACTTGGTGCTCAGGCCTCTGTCAGCCACTGCTGGTCAACTCCTTTCTGCTGAAAAAAAAAATCAAGGATGTGCTTGTGTGCTCCTCTGCCTGCAGTCTCCTCTCTGCAGGCCGGTGTGCGTGTGATGGAGGACACTTGGAAAAGCCATCCCTGTGTGACTGCCCCAGTCACCCATGTGGAGTCACAAGAGCAGCTGGCATGCTCAGGCCCAGCTGGCTCTTCTTCCTGCGCTGAGGTCAGGCTGGCTCCTTGGATGGCCTGCCCCAGGGGAAGAGGGTGGCACGAGTGCTAAAACAGATGGTACCATGGCCAGGGCTCATTCATCCAACAGTCCCACTCATCTACGGAGCCTGGAACAGACCACCAGCTCCCTCAGTGTTACTCTGGCTCTGTCTCTGCCTCCCATCTGTGTGTGCGTGTGTGTGTCTGTCTGTCTATCTGTCTGTCTCTCTTCCAAGGGCGCTGATGTGCCTCGTCTGAAAATGAAGACTAGGTGACGATCAGTTGAATTTCCCAGGGCTCATTTTGGTCATTTGAACTACCGAAAGGTTCAGTGCTTGTTTTCTTTCTTGTTCCCTGTGCTGCTTGGATACTGCTCAGGGTCTCTTGGCATCATCTTTGTCTAGGAAGCCAAAATGATGAAATGACCGTGGATCCGTTTTTCACTTTGGGAAGGTCAAGATTTTGACTCTTTTAAGGTGAAGCTGCTCTGCTTCGGAGAAAGCTGTAGTGGGTGCGGCTCATTCCGCAGTTATTCCATCAAGACGTGCCCTTTCCTCATTTCTGTGAAGCCAGGATCGGACTGGGAAGGTGCAGCTGCCCTGGCAGGACTGGGACCGTTTCTCCTCTTAGGTCCGTTTCTGCTTCTCTTGCTACACTCTGTCATATACTCCCCGCACTCTGCTTCCCTGCATGTGGAGCTCCTGCCTTCCCGGGTCCCCAGCTACCGATCGTTGGTTCAGCATTGCCCAATAGCAGTGCCCTCACCATAGAGATCACGTGCTTTGTCGTATGTTTATGTCAACTTAGCTTGGCAGTGTGGAGACACAACAGAAGAGTGTGGCTGAAATGAATCATACTAATTGGGTTGAACATTCAGAATTCGTCGTGACATTCTGGCGAATTAGCATATCTGCAAAATTTGAGGAAAAAGAGTATTTCCTAGTGGAGGTATGTAATGTTTGTGAAAGATCCTAATGTTGAGCTGAAACTAAGAATATTTGCAGGGATAATTAGGCACCGATTTATGGTTCTTGGATTAGGAATTTTGGGGCGGGGTGGGGGTTGTACACACTCCTATTGCCAAGTCAGAAAGGGAGTTTTATTTGGGGTGGTTTCCTACCCAAATCACCCATGGACAGAAAGACTCTAGTGGAAACTTCTGATATCTGGGGTGAAATCAGGAATCCTGTTAGACAAAACAGTGAAGAAACGTTTAAGAGGGAGTCATTATTTGACATTCTGTCTGGTAACAAACGTGCATGAAAGAAATTCAGAACTCAGAGTTGTAGTGTGTACATTTCCCAGTTGAGTTCCCATAGAATGCTTCCAGGTGAAAGGGAGCAGGGAGGAAAGATGACATCTCTCCTTCCAGCCAGTCCAGCAGCAATCTCCCTAATGTGTGTTCCAGTTGTCTTTTCCTGTAGGACTTATAGGAAGAAAGATTCCTGCAGCTATAGGAAGAGCACTCTTTTACTTTGTTTTGAAAGAATATTTTAGGAGTTTCAGACCTGTGGCATTTATAAAAACCAGAACAGATTTGGGGGTGCGGGGGGGTCACTTAAGTATTATTTTTCCTCTAGGGAACTTTGCATAACTTTCTGTACATAGGCTATGAGAGTCCTGGCTGATTGAATGAGCATCTATTCTATACTTATTATCCCACCCAATGGCTGGGGGCTGGTCTAGAGAAGTTATTCTGGGTGTGGGTACCACTGGGTCCGTGGAAACTGGCATTCTCATTTCGGACGGGCGCTTGTGCTAATGAATGCTAGACCTGCAGCCTCCTCCTCTTGCCTTTTCAGGGATCTGCCACCTTGCTCACAAACATCCAAGGCGGGGACCGCTCGGACGCTCCATTTTGGTTTCTTGATTTCCCAGAAGAGAAGACATCCTTCAGACTTCAGAGAACTTTGATCAATAGTCAAAGGATGAAGTTTTTAAAAGTTTTCTGGTTTTATTTTATTGTATTCATTTTAACTGTTTCTAAAGGTTTGCTCTTGATCATTATTGAGAGGTGAAACTAGTTCTAGAGCTTTCTCTTCCATTTGGGGGGTGAAAACTACCATTTCTGGCTACCTTGGGTCAATGTTTTTATCATGGTATCAAGTCATAGGGAGTGTAGGATTCATAGACAGGCTTACACAGGTTATGGACAAAGTGACGAAGCTTTTTGTCCCACATCAAAATCTGGCACCTTCAAAGTTACTTCTTTGGTAGAATTGCTGATCAGAAGTCTTCTTAGGTAGAAATGGGGACTATGTGCTCACACATTCTGTGGAAAGTGATGTATTCTGGATGAATTAACCACTTAATGAGATAAGGTGAAGTCCAAGGTAACTAGAAATTCATTTTCTGGAGGTTTTCAAGTCAGTCATAGCACCTTCTCAGCCTGTGGAAGTAAAGAATATTTCTAGAGGGAGACATCTTTGGGGGGGAAAAAGCCAAAATACCCGTGGCTGCTTTTCCTAATTTCCAATTATGTTTAGGCCGATCAAGATCAAAGAGAAACCTACAGTGCACTGCCAGCTCAGGTGCAGAGGCTACTTTTATCAAGAGTTCTTATGAATGTATTTTAAAATAGTATGAGTGACTCTAAACGAAGAAAGGAAACAGTCCAGGAGCCAATGGGAAAAAAGCCAGATTTTTTTTTTTTTTGGAAGCTGGAAGACCTCTTCAATTTGCTGAAAAAAGAAAAGGAAATTATATGCATATTCCTCAAAAGCACAGAGAGAAAGCATACAAAAGGTTTAATTTTTTTTTCTCTTCCCAAATTATTTTCATTAAAATTAAAAATATCTTTCTGATAGAAAGCATTTATTTTTACTATTAAGACAGAAAGAGGATTTTTCTGCCTTTGGACCCAAATTAGATTCTCCATTTAAAAAACATTATAAATAAATCATTTTATTGGGGGCTCTTACAGTTCTTATAACAACCCATACATCAATTAAGATTCTCTACTTTTTGTGGGTTTTTCCCCTTCCTTTTGAGTTAGATGGATGCTTTTTGCACTTAGAGGAGAAATTTCCCTGAACCCTTCTTCATGAACCTGGCATCTGTGGGATAGGCAGCAAGGCCATGGGCATCAGTAAGTGTTCCATCGTGGGCTGTGTCACGTGCTTTTCACGTGGCTCACCATGAGGCCTGCGAGACGTTTGCAGTCCACTCGTGGTAGTGATGGGGCACCACCATCCCATTACATAGTCATTCCCATGCCCTGCCACTGCCTGGCACAGCCCCTGAGCACCACCCGGCCAGACTAGAGGGGAAAAGCTCTTTCATCGCCACCAAATCCGAAATGCAGTGAACTTGTGTAATTCATACAGGACACTCTCATGGAGCAAGGGAACAACCTCTGGAGAGCCCAGCAGCAGCAGCAGCAGAAGCAGAAGCAAATCTTCATTGGACGTCTTTGGACATTGTCCTTCACCCACGTGGGCAGTCAGCCCCACAATTCAAACCCATTTCACAAGTAATGGACTCTTGACACTGTTCTCAAGAGAGCGTCATCGTTTATGTGTACCTTGCTGGCATTCTCGGTGACATTAGGGATTCTTACCAGGGCCCAACTATTTTAAATCCTGACTGACATGGCCGCAGTATCCCGGCAAAGTTGTGTGGATAGCATGTGGGGTGTGAATCTTCCCTGACTTCATCTCTTTCCTCCTGTGTTGGGCGTGTCCTGTCTGGAGACGCCCCTGTAGGCCGTGAGCACTGCTGCTGCTTCCCTTCGTGTACTGAATATTCAGGTGCTGCAGTCACTGAGGACTCAGGTGGCAAAAAGACCAGGTGATCGAAGAGAACCCTATCAGGAACCCTGAGGACAGCCCAGATCCCCCGGCCTCTGGCCCTCGGACGTTAAGGAAGAGTCCCGGGGAACCGCCTATAAATTAGAGATCCGTTCTCTACACCAACATGATAACGTCTTTCTGGATGGTGTGTTGACTGAGGCGTGCTGTTTCTCAAAGACAACAAGCCTTTCTGTGGTCCTCTCCCACCAAATGCATTTCGCTGGTAGCTGAGCAGAAAGGACTCAGTGTTGAGGCAGGCAATGCGTTCATTGTCTCCCCCGCCCAGTGCCGCCAGGAGCCCCATCTCAAAATCCAGTGTATTCCTCACAGTGTTATTTGATATATTGTGTCCCCATCAGCAGTTAAACTAAAGTAGGAACGGCTCCATTCTATGACGGGTTAAATTTTGCTCTGTGCAGATCTAGTGGTGATGTATAAATTGCAGCCCTTTCTTTTTTCCAAAGGCTTCTAAAATAGATTTTCAGAATTCGGGCTGAATTTTTGCTGCTGCATGTATGGTGACTCTTGATTTTTCTCCCTTCAGGGAAGCATCCTTTGCAGCATTCCCCCTCCCAAGGAATCACTTGGGCACTTCCAGCTGGTGACAGGGGTACAGCCACAGACAGCGTCCTCTGTCCCAGCTGTCTTTTGCACTAACTACAGTCAATGCATGGCGATGGCTGCGCTCGCTTGTAAAGGAGGGTCAGGTAGGGGAAGGTGTAGGAGGAAGCCTGGAGACCGTCCTTTTGCTTTTTAAAAGCTTCACCTCCTCCAGCATCTTTGCTTTGTGAATGCCTCCCTGCGTCTAGTCCCGGCCTTTCTCTCCAGCGATTGGAATGCTGCTGCCTGCCTGATTAAAGGGCCCGAGGACAGCACCTTCTGCACGGAAGCCGGGCTCAGGAGGGTCGTGTTAATGCATTATGGCTCATGCCGCCTCGCAATTAAAGAAGAACAGGGATTTAGAAATCAATGCCGAAGAAGAGACTGAGAAAAAAAGGAAACACCGCAAACGGTCCCGCGATCGGAAGAAAAAGGTATCTGTGAGTCTAGCGGAGCAAATCTCTCGCCTGCCTGAATTCTTTTTGTTTTCCACCTCCCCTTGGCAGGGGTTGGAAGCCTGGGGGGCTGTTTTTACACGCTGGGGAGCGTGTACCTTGAGTGTGTCAATTGGGCGCCGACGAGAAGACCCTGTGGCAGCCCCCCACGGCCATAGGATTGGCGTGGGCAGGGCAGGCTTTTGCTGAGGGGGATTGCAGTGCTGATGCGGAAGGTGTGCGGGGTCCTGTCGCCGGCACACAGAGATGTGTTACCGGCGGGCAGTTAGAAGTAGTTTCTGCCCGGCCCCGTCAAGGTTACGGGGATGGCGGTGACGTTAGGGGTGCGGGAAAGGCTGGAGTATCAGCCTTTGTACTTCTTAGCGAGATCCATCTCGCGGAAAAGGAGGTTTCGTGTCAGAACGGTGTGTGTCACATGTGTGCGTTCCTCAGGCAGATCTGTGACCTTAAAGGCGTTGCAGAAAAGTCGTTGGTGTCCTGCTTGGTGACATCTAGACCCCTTTCCTTTTGCCTCGCATTTCTAAGGAGAGGATGCAGTGGGGATAAGCTGCTAGAAATAACTTTCCTTTGTTCAGTAAAGCTCAAATCCCAGGCTTGTTTTCCTTGGCTGAGTGAGAAGGGGTTATCCTGAAGGCAGGAATTCCCAGGGCAGGCAGAGACCACCTGCAGCCTTAGGACTGCCTGCTGCAGACCAAAGCAGGGCCCTTCCTGACCCCCTGCTGATAGTCCAGGTTTTGTTGGGGGTGGGGGGAGACATAGGAGGAATATTCTAGGTCAGTGGTGTTTTATTACAGCCACAGAGTACTTGCTAAGTGTCTGTTGCCTGCGCCCTTAAATCTGAGTCTTAGGGAGGGACCAGGTAGCCAGGCCCCAGAGCCCCCCACCCCCCATGACAATGAATAAAAATTGACTAAAACTCTGCGATCTGAATACAGAAGGAAACCCATCAAGCATTTTTATGGGCCTTTGTGGGAATCCCCAAGAGGAAGACCATCTTAATTTGCTCAGAGCGCCATTGCATGCATGCATGCAGTTTCTAAATGGCATGCAGGTTCCCTGGACCACGGTCACCTCTCTTCAGGGAGTGACCCCCCCTCCCCCCATATTGCTGGTGCCTTTGCCATTGCCTTCCCTGCTAGGAGCCGCAGAAGGCGCCTCCTCTGCCTTTGGTTACCCAGCTGACTCTCTGAGCCTGAGTTTTGAGGCTGCGGTGGTTTTGCTGCAAGAGGTTAAATATAGCTATTTCCCACTCCCATATGCTCGTAAATAAACTTCTGGAACAGATCTTCACAGGAGTACCAACCGAGGTGAGGCCATTCTGCGCCAGCCCAGTTTCAGGGCCTTCCGCATCAGAGGTGTTATGAAATTGCCAGGTCTTGCCAGATTGAGACCTACCGGGTTTGTCTGTGGGCAGTTCCGATCAGTTACCCTCGTTGCCACGCTTCACTCCCGCAGCCCCCATCACAGTAAACTGACTTCTAAGCAAACACGGGAAAAGATATTTCTATTTGTCCAACGAAACGGTGTCCTTACTTGAGTTGCATTTACATAAGAGATGTTAGCCGAGCCCAGCATACGGACAGCGGCTTCCTGTAGCTCTCCCCGTGGACCTGCGGGCCTTTGTGCTTGGGTCCCTGTTTGACTTGGAAAGGAAACAGGGAAAGGATGAGGCAAAGGGAGGCTCTGGACTCACGGATCTGAAGCAAATGCTTTGTTGTGAGTATAACAGAGTCTGCCCAATGTAAACCTCTTAGCAACCAGAAGGGAACAGGGAAAAATATCAATATCACTATTGTACATGTGCAAGCAGATTTAAATGTGTTTGTTCCCAGGACACTCAGAGTAGGTCTGAAAAGTGACTCTTGCATTGCTATGTTACTCATTTATTCATAGCCCAGTATAACATAGGTCGTCTCTATCAAGGATACTGTGCATAGATTCTTCATAGTCAAATTACATCGTGGATTATTTTTCATGTACAGAGTGAAGATTAGTTTACTTCGAAGGCCCAGGCTAGATTTCTTTTTTCAGTCATATGGCAGCTGCAACACTTATTCTCTATAAAGGGCATTGCTCAGACTGTGAGGTCTTTTTGGCTTGCCTTTACCTCAGGTACTAATTGAAGCTTGTGTGATACTCTGTTCCATATGGTAAGCCCAGTATCATTTGAAAATGCAGCTTTTAAAATATTATGGGGGTTATGATGTGGATAGTTGCGGTGGCTCATATGCAGAGATATTTCTAGGATCATTTAATAACATTAAAGTAATAGGGAGTACTCACAAAACTCTCAACATAAAAAGGCTTAGGAAAATCTTAAAGAGTATCTAATCTATAAAATAAGAAATTTGGTCCTGGCACCCCTTGCAGCTTAAGTTTGAGCAAGCCCACAAATGACAGCTGTACCCGTGCTGCCAACATCGTATGGTTTGGGATAGTAATACGTAGTATAATAAAATCATAATGTATATTGGCCCTCCTTACTGGTGGGCATTGAACTTACATCTCACCAGATTTTTAAAGACCCATTGAATTATATACCTAATCTATTATGCATATTGATAACCAAGAATGAAAATGATTTCCAGTCCCCTCCTCCCACCAATAAGAAGTGGGGAGCTTCTAGGAATTTACGCTAAGTGGAGTTTTGATAATGATGTATTTTGTTCTTGGCACAACAACTTAAGCAGTCTCAAGAAAAATGAAAATCTTCCTACGTGTTAGGAAGAAATGCATCTGGGGACATGAACCTTTTAATTTTTTGTACAACACATTTTCTGGCTTAAATTTTAAAAAATTCCTAATGAGTATCTAATTTGAAAGTTGCTTACTAATGTATTTGTAATATCCCTTACCCACATATTGCCACTGCTCTCCGGACAGATTTTCTCCTTCGCACCCTTGCTCCCTGATGGGCTGCTCAGGTTGGCAGCCAGTGGGAGGCCAGCCAAATGTAGGCAGAGTGCCTTTGGGCAGGTTCATATTGGATCCCTGCCCTGGCTAAGCAACTTGCAAAGAACTCGTATGCTCTGCATCCAGCAGGATATTCTGCCCACAGGTGGTAGTCAGTAGATGGCCCAACGTACCATGAGCCCACTTGGGTTAGAAGTCAAAGACACACTTCTTGGGGTAGGACCTGTGATCCCTGCATTTCTCCCTCACCACAGCTACTGATGTCCCATTACCTGCTTGTTTCACCTTCTCCCCATGTAAAGAATAAAATGCATGCTCACGTGTGAAAGAAGACGGGAGTTGACTTTAATATATTCACAAATCGGTTTGTTTAAAATGTATACTTGTACACATTTACTACACCCTGGCAAAAAACAAAGGAGCTTTTACAGAGTGTCCCTCTATGTGCCTGACAGTGGTAGACACTGAGAAGCGGGAACAGTGAATTCCATGATTATTATTTTTCTGATTATTGATGTCAGACTCACACAGCTAATCGGTATCATAAGAGGGATGGCTGTTCATCAATTTATGTTTGTATTACTGCATTCATTCATCATACATTTATCAGGTGACTTCTGGGGATTAGGCATTACAATGAATGTGAGAGAGGCAGTTAAACCAGGTACATTGGCAGAAGTAATGTGGCTCCCATCAGAGCCAGGGAGAATGGTAGCATCATGAAACGCGCATGGCTTCTTCTAATACTTTATAAAGTGAGTCCATTTGAAGATTGTCAACTGTTTTCGATCAGAGGAGCCTCCCAGAGAAGCTGGGTCTTGAAGGAAGTAGTGAAATAGACAAAGAAGGAAATCTCATGCCCAAAGTGACAGAAGTAGGAAAGAATATATTCAGGGGTATCATTAGACACTCATCTGTTAATCTTGTAGTAAGCACTTCAAACTCACCAGCTGCCTGCTGGGAGAAAGTCGAGGCTACCTAATTGACAGTCTAGAAAACCTTCTATGAAGTTACCACAAATTGGAATTGGCTAGACAGCAGTGAGTTTGGTTTGGGGCTTGGTGTAAAGTGGGCATGAGTGTAGGCTAGGAATTTTTAAAAGCTAGTAAACAAGAAGGACCATATCTTGAAGACCTTGTATGCCATCTTTCAAGGGTTGGAAATTTCCTGGCCAAAGCTGGGGAGACTGGGTGATGCGAGAGACTATGAATAGCCTTATCACTTAAAACAATCATCAGCATCTGTGATGTAGGCAGCAGCAGGAACAGCAGGTAAGAACACTGAGGGTGATCCAAACATGATGCTAAGAGTTGGAACTAGGGCAGAGACTATTCCAGTAGAGAAGGGATGATGCATGTAAGAGATATTTAGGGGAAAACTCAGTAGAACTTGGCAACGGAGTCTATGTAGGAAGTGAGAAAGAGAGATCGAATTTAGGGTCATTGCCAAGTTTCTGGCTTGAAGGGGAAGATGAAGAATTAAATGCTCAGATTTATAAGCCTTTTATTCCAGGACGTTTGACATTTGCTTTGTATTTATTCACCAGGCTCAAGGAGATAATCCTTTTTTGGTCTATTTCAACTACTAGTAGTCAGTATCCCTTGGTACTTGGAGTTTCTCGGCTTGTAGATGCCTCTATCTTGTGTGTCTACCTTCACATGAGATTTCCTGCTACCTCCCATCTCATGTCTAGTCTGCTCTTTTTAATTCAAGGGCCCACCCTACCCTGATCGGACCTCTTTAACGTAAAAAATAAACCTTCTGTTTCCAAAAAGGGTCCTGTTTATAGGTATAGGGGTTAGAATTTCAGGACGTGTATTAGGTATGCACAGCCCACTCCATTAGAAGCCTTCTCTCTCTAAGAGCTTATCTGAGATTCTGTCCTGTAATTATGTGTACACAGGTCCGTCTTGTCCAGAAGACTGGGGGCACCTCGAAAGCATAGATGGTGGCATCAGCACCACCTAGTGCAGTCAAGCAAGGCTGGGTGAATAAGTGGATAAGTAGGCACACGGCAGACAGTTAGATGGGATGGTAGACAAAGAGTCGTGTTGTTTAGTGAGTTA